GAACCGAGCTTTCAGTACTTCAGTTTAGTGATACTATGGAACTACAGAGACAATTTCACTCCAGACCCTAAATGTTGCTCCGACAAGTCTCTCAAGGGCCCTCCCGGTCCGCTTCAGGAGTTTTTTGTTATTCGAAGCCTATACGGGTTGTCGCGCTATCTCTGAGAACCACCGATGATGCCTACTGGGCTCCCGAATCAAGATCCTTTTTTGCCCTGACTCAGAGAATTGCTCAGAGTTCTCAGCCCTAACATACGGGCCTTGAAAATTGGGATAGGGCCTTGGGGCATATCAAGTGTACTGCAAAAAAACATAGCTCGTGGAGCCGGAGGGCCGTATCCAAGGCCCTAGGGCAATAGTCAGTAGCACATGTTCTGCCACATAGTACGCCTTAACCCCGCAGATTCTCTTCAGTGCATCCAGGCAGCGCCTGTCAATCCTTCCTTGGACTTCCAAGTATCTTCGTTACCTCACGGGCTTTTGGTTTCTTCGACTCTCACAGGCAAAAGGCTCCAGAACAAACAGGTCGCGATCCTAACATGCAGGCAAGGACCGGAGTTTAGGCTTTGAGGTTTGAGATTGGTCCAAATCTGCTCGAAATGAAGATATGTGATCATGCACGTTGTCAGCTCTGCTGCAAGACGTTTTGGGTAGACTGGAAGTTCACCACAATCTAGGGCGGCTAGATTGGAAAAACTTCTGGTTATATTCAAGAAGATAAACTTCAAGGCAGTAGAAGATGTACTGGGATTACGGGATCTCAGGAGTCACTGTGTTTCCACGGGGCACCACAAAATTCCATAACCCTGACTTAGGTTCGTGGCTTTAGAGTACAGTACCATACCGAGTGACTTCGATCTGCTTCTTCTTTTCTTTCTTGATACACTCGGAACTCTCACGGTCAGTTGTTGACTGTACCAGCGCCGGGCACGTGACTAAACATTTGCCCCCGCATGTGAGAAGCTCGACGGTGACAGCAGCAGGCGCGGCAGGAGTGAGCAACTGGAAGCGTACGCTTCTTCTTGCACCAGCTGCAGCCATACTACATTAGGTTATCATGTACTTTTGTCTCTTTTATGTTGTACTATGTTATACTGTACTATGTTTCAGTATATGACTGCATTCCATCTTATTAGCTCTACAGGTACCGTGTGTCACCTGGCTTTGGCCTGACAGGCCATGCCCAGCTAAGCCCACGCCAAGTAGCAACGCAGGATCTTGTCTGCCTCGGCCAAAGGTTGCACACCCAACGAACAGTAGGATTTCCTCGTCTCGTCTCCATCATCTACACCATCGCAGATCACCACCTCACTACAACAATCACCATGGCCTTCAGCATGGGACCACCATCCCAGCATCACCATCCTGAAGGTTAATATGCCATGATCACCACAACAACCACCACCACTACCCAAACCACCACCATAATCACCCGACACCATCATCACCACAATCATCAACAACACCAACAGGCATCAACTGCATCAGCACCATCATGTAATCATCATGGTTGTGCTCAACAAAGGCATCACCATCAGCAGCAACGGCTGTGTTTTCTTCTCTTCTCATCGTATGCATCATTGTCGTCATCAGCATTGCAATCACGGTGGCGATCACCCTCAGCAACCTAATCCAGGACCACGACACCGTGGTCCTGGCAGCTGTTCCATCCTCATCTTCATGACCACAAGGTATCACCAACATATGTTCAGTCTCCTTCGTCGAAACTTTATGATATCATCAGAATCAGCTTCGACATCGGCCCGATTATCTGCGGCGCCGCATAACAGGACCATGGACGAAGTGCCACGTCGACGATTAGAACGAGAACGGCACATGATCTGAAACAGTGAGGAGTATTCGGTAAGCCTGACAGCAGTCAAGACAAGAACGCCAACCAGTACAGTACTAGCCTAAAAGAATTGCCGAACCTACGACTCCGCCTCCTGCGCCGCATCTCTATCCTGTTGAAGGTGACTACAATGGGGATACCATGAGGGTCGCTGTTTAGAAGGTTGCCATGTGAGTTGTTATATCTAAAAAGCCCTGCACTCGTCATCTTATTTAGACAGGTCACCGATGTCAGCATACAGACTTCGCCATCATCAGTTCTGACCTGGCTGCAGAGAGCGCGCTGAAGCGGGGAATGTGGATGGATAACGACATGATAACGACTATGGTGGGAGTTATGTCCCCAATTTCCCACCACTCCAAATCTCAAAAAACATGCACACCCTCGACAAGGCTTCAGCGCACAGTAATCTTATGTTGGGGGACGTGTGAAACCAGATTTTTGCTTAGAATGTATGGTCGTGAGGTAGTTGTCCGTCCACTAGTAGGCGGGCTTGCTCCAAAGACCAAGCATTTGCAGAGCACGGGTGTGGCAACAGAACTGCTGAAAACTCTGCATTCAATTCAAATTAGGCTTGCCATAAGCGGCATTCCGAACCTATGCTACTTGGCTTCATGCTTCCCTTTACCCTGCTCTCATGTTGGAACAGCTTGTAAAGCTCAAAATATGGCAAAAAAAGCGAGCGTTGCCAGTACTCGTCATACCCATATACGCATACTGCATCATTGCTGATGCAGCCGGTCTTCCCGGTGGCTGAAGCTTATAAACCCCTTTAACCCTCCTAAGGCTCGATGATCAAGACTCCTCGCGTCCGCAAGGAAAATCGTCTGAATGTCGCCGCGTGCGCAGCCCGGCACTCAATATGTGAGGCCACGTTGCATGATAGTTCTATGCCAGATAGCCAGTCAAATTCCTCTGTCGAAGCATTGGCACGACAGAGAGAAAGAGAAAGAGCAAGACGAGAAAGAGAGGGACTGAGAGTGGGGGCCATGATGAAGCCTTTCTCGTCTATCTAGCTTAGGTCGGCTGATACCCTGGTACCCTTGTAGACGTAGTCCCCTTGTTATGCCCTCCTGCCCTTATAGTATGCTCATCGCACACCCAATAGTCGCAAGCCTGAAGCAGTAAGGCGGTCAGGCGCCTGAACGTTGGACCCATCGATGGACTGGACCTCCGCTTTCACCCAGACCTGACTGCCATCCTTGTCCTTCACCTGGACAAGCATTTCGACTCACACAGTCGCTCATGCAGGTATGGCAGCTTCCGTCCGAGCATTTAGGGTTCAGTGCTTTCTTAGAGGTGCGGGTTTCGGGCTGAGGCTCGTTGCTGAGAGGCATACTAGCCCTGCAGACTCCTTATAAATGTACATATTCAATGTTAGTATAACCTTTTTGCAACTGGCCTGCTGCGACTCCGCCAGGACAAACACTTGGCCGCAATCACTCAGTGAGTAAGCGACTCGTGCGCTCAGGCCAAGCATCCGGAATGATTTCACATGTAAGTACAATTTGGCGAAGTTTACAGAGCTCTAACGCCACCGCATGCAAGAGGCCTCAAAGTCGAAACCCTATTCCCATAATTAAGGCACTATACTGTTGAAATTCCCCTTTTCAGTATGGGCTTGGACTGTGTGCGAGCGAACACTCCTTCACAGCAGAGCCTTCCCACTGCTCCCCCACAAAGCTCCCTTAACCCCCAACTCCTCCAAGTCCTACACCTGTGACCAACTGAAACCCATTTTCATCCAGGCCTCTTCAAACTGTCGGGTAACCTGATGAAACCGTTGGGGTTAAACGCTAGACCACTAAACCTGAAATCCCAAAACTCCGTAGCTTCATTCAGCTCGCAATAGTAGTCCCTTATAGCCTTATATTATAGCCTCCTTGTAACTAATGACACGCTAAAGCTGAAACCCGCCCCTGTTGATCACTTTAAAAGAACCCTTAAGCCCTAAACCCCCTATAGATCCCTGTAAAGGCAAGGAACGCAACAAATGGGGGTTTCCGAAAATAGGGGACCCCAAATAGTAGGATCCTTATTATAAGAACCCCAATATAAGGCACCCCTTAGTTTCGGAAAGCCCCAAATCCCACAGTACCTGCGGCTTCCGCTCACCGGGCGCCCGCACCCAGACCAAGGTTCCCGGCTCGAGGGGCGATCCGAGAGGGCTGGGCCTTTAAAGCTTGGCGGAGAGATTTGGCTGTGTATATGTATATGAAACAACATTTTCTAAAATCTGCGTTGCACCTATATATATATATGTATATACAAATTTATATATACTTCAGGCTTATACTTATGCTTATGCTTGTTTTTGTATGCACATGTGTACATATATTCATTTGTTTATTTTCAAGCACGCACACACATTTGTATATATATATATATATTATATATATATATGTATATGTATTTTGGCTCCCACGTGGCATCGTCCAAGGACTCTGCAAATATATGCATATATGCATGTATGTATGTATGTATGTATGTATGTATGTATATATATATACATACATATGTATAAATATAAATATAAATATATATATATATATATTTTTATATTTATATACATATACACATGCATAGATCTATCTATGTAGGACGTTGGCAGTCGTGGATGTGCCACCTTGATGTCTGGAGTCAATCGCCGCATCAAAACGAAACCACCGTCACCAATCTGATGACTTGGGCGGCCCTGGACCAAGAAGGTTACGCCCGCAGTCACGCCACAGCGATGTGCACTGACGCTAATGGTCATTCGCCACACCAACGGAAGAAAAGCGAAGGGTCGGGAGCACAAGATGCGATCGGTGGATGCGATAGCACACTTTTTGGTACGCCAGGCGCTCTAGCTCTATTGGCTACATGGATCGGAGGCTGGGGTCCCACCAGCACAACTCCTCACGAGCCCTCGCAGGCTCTACTAAACAGCTACATGATCTTCATGTAAAGGAGACCCTTCAAAATCTCCATGTAAGAGTCTTCCGGGTCCAACGGTTCTATGGAGCCCTGAACACACAAGACCGAACCTTGCCAGTCTCGCGTTCAGAAAGCCATTTAAGAAATTTAAGAGACTTCTTTCACGCATCACTGCATTGGGCAAGTCCGCAGCCCGGAACGAGCTTGAATTCAACATCGCAAAACCTCATCATCGAACATTATATGTTGGCCTCCATGCGTCGTTGAACGGAATGATCCTCATGCTCTTCACCCTCCAACTGTCGTAAATGACCAGCTCGTCTCCATCGCCAGGGTCGAAGCGTATCGAATCATACCCGGTCTGGAGAAACTCTTGCTTTGTCCACTTGTGGCCACAACGGGGGCCCTCGTACTTGACGCGTCCCACATCCACCTTCGCCTCAATCATGCAGCCGCTCTTGGAGTCGTTCCCAATGGCCTTTGTCTTCGTCGCCTGGGGGGACAAGGCAAAGTAGATGGCTCCACCGCAGTGGCCATCTGAGCCTGGTCGGAAAGCCGAGTTGACAATCAACTTGCACACATTGGGGCTCGTCTGGTGGAAGCCGGTTACCATGTTGGTGTGAGTTGGGCGCGAATTGCTCGACGACGGATCACGACGCCGCCGACGTCGGCTGTCAGGTGTTTGCCAACAAGTACCATAGTCATAGCAGCAATTCCTGAAGCGACCGCAGTCCTTGTTGCACTGGCATTGGAACTCGGGATGATAGCTGCTGCGGCAGCCGTAGTGCCAGCAGCCGACCCCGCCAGTCCAACCAGCTGCGGACTTGAATGACGGGCGGAAGGCAGTCGCATTGCTCGGACTTGCCCCGGCTTCCGCACTGTGTGGGGCATCCTGGCCTGAGACATTCGGAGGCAGCAATAGAGGCTCATGGAAATCTGCTTTCGTGGCGAGCGAGTCGTTTGCCCTGCCAGTCTGGTTCGCCTTACGGACTTTCAAGCCAGCTGAGCCTTCCTGAGACGAACTGCGATTTGGGTTCCCTGCACTCTGGTTACCTTGCCGCAGATTGCGGCTTACCTGAGTGTTCAAGTCTCCCCTCACAGTCTGGCTCAGGACCAGGCACAGCCAAGCTGACAAAGCCAAAGTCGTACGAGACATTGCCATGTCACCACTCTGTGTACGCCCCGACGATATGTCCGATCTTCAGCCGAAATGGCTACGGCGATGTCGGGCTTGGATCAAAAACTTCACCGCGACGGGGAAGGGTACGCCCGGCCAAGGTGCTTCGTGGATCTGCAGAACATGTACTGCGCTTTTTGGCACGCGAGACACTCTAGCTCTATTGGCCACAGGAACATGCGTCGGATGCTGGGGTCCCGCCAGCAAAGCTCCTCAGGAGGACTTTCAGGCTTTACATGCTTTACATGTGAAGGAGACCCTCCAAAATCTCCGTGCAACAGTCTTAAGGTGCAACCATGTATGGAAGCCCTGAACGCACAAGACCGAACCTTGCCAGTCGCGTCCAGAAAGCAATTTAAGGGACTTCTTTCACGCATTAGTGCTACGGGCAAGTCCGGAGCCCGGAACGATC